CAGTTTATCATGAATGTATAGGTATTATTGAAAGGAATAATTCTATAAGAATAGCTTATAGGCGAGCAAGAAGGGCATATAGTGTTTGTTGGTTTAATAACATATGTAATAGTTGGGAAAATGTATAATTTAAGCGGCATTTTAGAATAACTAAAACTACATTTGAATGGTTATGTACTGAAATAGCACCTTTACTATTACAAAGAAACAACCCAAGTAGCGCTCCAAGAATTTCAATTAAACATAAGGTTTCATTAACTTTATGGTTTTTAGCTACTGATCAAAGTTATCGAACACTTAGATAATTATTTGCATTAGGAGAATCAACTATATGTTATATTATTCAATCAGTTCTATATGCAATTAAATGTAATTTTCTTTTTTCAAAGATTCAGTAAATAATTGATAATTAATTTTTTTTCCAATAAATAAAATATAAATTAATATTTTTTGAATTTAATAGATTTTCTAGTGAGCATATTGAATTCAGTAATATTGCAAAGAAATTTAAAAGAAAAGCAGGTATTTCATATGCAGTAGGAGCAATTGATGGAAGTCATATACCAATTAAAGCACCTAAAGAATTTCCTATGGATTATTATAATAGAAAGGGATTTTATTCAATTGTTTTACAAGCAGTTATTGATTCATCTGAAAACTTTATTGATATATTTGTTGGATATCCTGGTTCAACTTATGATAGTATAATATTTCATAATTCTTTATTATATCATATGTTTAATTCTTCTTCTTCAATTATTCCTACAAATGCATATATTCTTGGTGATGCTAGTTATTCTTACCAAAATTGGTTACTTATACCATATCGTGATATGGGAAGATTAGCGTAAATACAAACCTATTATAATACCAAACATTCTCAAATACATATAGGTATAGAACAAGCATTTGAAAAATTAAAATCAAGATTTAGATATTTAATTAATCCTTTAACAACATTATTAGAAACTTCCATTCTTATTATAATAGCAACTTGTATTTTATATAATATTTGTGAAGAAAGGCAAGAGGATATGTTAAATGATAATGAATACTTTGATGATCAAAATCATTTTCAAACTTTATTAGGTAATGATAATATAACTAATTCAACTAATTCTATTAGAGATAATTTAGCAAATTATTTATGAAATAAAAAAATTCAAAGAGATAATAGAAAAAATAGATATAATTTTACCAGTGATAGTGATGAAGTTGATAGTAAAACATCAGAAAAAATAAATAATATTCATTTTACAAATTTATAATTTGAATTTTATTCTTTATTATATTTTACAATATATTAATCTTCATTAAAATGTGAAGGAAAAGGACCTTTAATTTGTAAAGTATTATTATTATTAGGCAAAATATTATTAATTTGCATAGTATTAATCTATATCACATTATTGATTTGTGTAACATTAATTTCTGAAGGATTATTTTGCAAATCAAATGAAGTAGATTGATAATAAAAAAGAACTACAAATAATTAATTGAATAAGTAAATAAAAATAAAAATTATAATTATAAATAATTTTTAATTTTAATATTATGATTAGTCTGAGGTAAAGTTATATTATTTGAAGTGTGTAAAGCAGAAATTAGTAAATGGAATTCCTTTTGCCTTTGCTCTTCTCTTTGTCTTCTTTTTATCTTTTTTCTTTTACACTTTTCTCTTTTGTATCCTTGATCCTCTATTCTTTGATACATTAAATCATCTAGCAAATTCTTGACTTTTCGAACTTCAGACCTAAGCTTTTTGTGGTTTTTCTTCTTGATTAAATTCAGATTCATTTGTTTAGTTTGCCCTGTAATTTCATTAAATGGATTATCAAAGTCACCAATATTTAAATTACTATCTAAAACTTTTGGAGTTAAACTTGGATGATTTTCATCAAGTATTTCTTTTACTTCCATTTTATATCAAACTTCAACTGGATTATTATCACTTTGTTTATTGTGATCCATATCATCCTAAAAAATTTTTTAATAAAAAAAGTTATTAAATTAATAAATACAAAAATCACCTTGTAATTCTTCTTAATATTTTTCCATTTATTTGCACACTGTTTAACAGAATATTTGAAATTGTCATTAAAAGATATAGCAAACGCGTTTTGTCAAAGTTTTGCTTTGTATTACCTTGCTACTGCATTTTGTACTTAAATTATTCACTTCCTTTTTTCGTTCTATCAAAAATGCAAGTAATAATTTTATAGCATCCTCATTCTAATTGTAAGACTTTTTTATTTATATTGGTCTTGTTTATTTTAGCAAAGGACTCTTTTTTGTTAGAGAAACCAGGAATTTCCATTATTATTGTTAAAGAAAAAAATTTTATAAAAAATTAAAAAAAATTTTGAAGCGAAAGGTGAGGGTAATTGTCATGATGGTATATGATGTAAGGTATTATTGATCATGGGATATACCTTGGATTGGAAATTTAATAGAAAAATCCAATCTAATTTAATCAATTGGATCATCTCAATCCAATCTAATTGAATTTTGTGATTTATGACTATGGATTGGATTAAGATGTCGACTCAATCCAATCTAATTAAATTTGTAAATACATCCTGTGTTTGTTTACGTTTTGTTTGTGTAAGGGCCAAATTATAAATAAATAAAATATAAATAAATAAATTAGAATTCAGTTTAATAAAATTTTATTTAATAACATTTATCCTTTACATTTATTTGATTGAACATTACATGCAATAGGACCTTATTCACTCCTCTGACTTGGTATATTGTACTTTTGATTAATACGAATAATTGTAAGTCTTTCATTATCCAATTTACATCCCCTTAAAAAATTAGTTAGTAATTTAATTTTTTTACAAAAAAAAAGTTTAATTGAACTTACTGTAAAACCAAATACTTCTGTAAATTTTCAATACACATTTATTAAATAAAAAAATAACAAACTTTTGTTGATAAAATTGATTAATTGTATCTTCTGATTCAGCCGTAAGTGCTAAAATATTATTTTTAATTGTATTATTATAATGTTTTTCATGAATTTTTTTATAAAATAAAAATAAAAAAAATTAATATTATTAATTTATTAATTTATTATTAATTTAAATAATAAATAAATTCTTATCTTTTATAATGTACTTGATAAGATTTAAAAATATATGGGTTAAATGTTCTTCCAATTTTTTATCTTATCTATTTCACTTAAAACTATGCTGAGATACTTTGCTTATGCGATATCTAAGTCTGCGATAACCATGAATATGGTTGAATTAAAGCTGTAAACCTGTTTTGGTATATTAAATTATGTTTTAAATATTCTTTAATAAGCAATATTTGTTAAATAGTTATTAAAAATACAGGTAAAGGTGAGAACTAAAATGTAATTTAAAGTTAGTATCCTTTTATGCTTAACTATAAATATTTACAAAAATTAACACAAAAATAGAATTGATAGACTTACTTAAATTATATAGTTTATTATAATAATTTACTTCAAACTCACTTGCTACACATTTAAATGACAGATTATCTAAAAGTATTCACATTTTATCTACTCAAGTAATTGATCAGGTGTAATACAAATAATTATTATATGATCATCCTCAAAAATTCTAATAAAAATTAATTTAATTAAATAAATAATAATATGTTAAACTTACCTAAATGTTTTACATATTTACAGAAATTGTTAATATTTTGTGAATAGTTATATAAAACTCCAAGAATTCCATGACTCTAAGGATATATTTCTTTTTGAATTTTATTTATAATATATCGAAAATGATCAGTATTATTCAAAGATGCATGAACATCAGCAAGATACTCAGTTCTAAAATATATCTTAATTAAATTACCTAATAATAAATAAATATATTTATTTAATCTGAAGTTTTATTTAATTTACTTTTAATAAATTAATAAATTACATACTTGTTACAATATGTGTTAGCATAACATCTGTCATGTTATCATTTGCTTAGTAGATCAATTCCTATAATCTAATATGAATGGTAGTGAGAATATAGTTAGATGGTAATGAAAGATGAGAATGAATATCTTTGGATATAAGAATCATATATGAATATTTTTCTAAATCTTATGAAACTATTTTATAAAATTTAACTCTACATGATTTTTGATCTATTGATCCTTGTTTGATAGTATTACCTGCATGATGTGAATATACTATAATAAATAAATATGTAAATAAAATTTTTTTTAAAAAAAATATTATAAAATACATTTAAAACTTACAACAGATTTTTTTTTAAACTATTATATAATACTATAAAGCAGTTATTTATCAGTTTATTTAATTCACCCTAAAGTATATTTTAATAAATATCAAAATATCATTAAATAAAGTAAATAAAATATACTTAACCTTGTATAATTCATTTAAAAGTTGATAAAGTAGATTAAAATAGTAATGGTAAATTATAAGATCATTTGACTTAAAATTTATAATAACAATAAGGTTATTTGAGGTTATTTGAGATCATTTCAAGGTCTTTTACTAACCTTAGATTAAAATTCACATTTTTTTTAATAGTAATAAACTGGTAAAACTTCTCATTTATTTTCCATTCAGAGTAACCAATAAAATACATTGGTAATGCTATTTCATCATGACGTCCAAAATATTTTAATATAGGTTTACCAGTATATTGTACTCTGACAATTAGTTTTATATACAGCTAAATATATACTGGACTAATTGGTTAGATAATACAGTATAAATATTTGTACTATACAAATATTATCACTTATGTAAATGTATTATTTTCCAGATTATTATTTGTTAAATCTTTATTAATTCTTAAATATAAATTAGATTTAGGATCTATTGATTCATGTTTCATTTTCTGAAATTTAGGACTTGTGAATTTACACATTTTTAGCCCTTGGTAGTTTCTTTCTTTTTTATTCACAATAATGTTACCAAGATAAGAATAAAATATATCACTTTGACTATTAAGTTTACCTATAAGATACTGAATTTTAAAATTAAAAATTTAAATTAGTTTTTATTATTATGATGATTATTAAAATAAATTTTAAAATTTTACTTATATCTGTAAATGCTGATTCTTTATTTTCTTACCTCTCAATATGATAAATTACTGTAACACCTTTCTCACTTATTGATGGGTACTTTATTAAAATCAGAGAATGAATAACTATTTTAATAATTATTTACTTTATAAGATATATCTTCATATTCTCTTTAAAAATAGACAAATTATTATTTTTTTCAAAAAATGATTTTTCATTATTTGTTTTCAAATAAAGATATATTAATATTATTTGGCTATATTATTGTATTATAATTTTATTTATTAATACAATTAACAATAATTATTTACTTATATAAAATAGTATTACCTCCTTCTTACTTTTATAAATAATATTTTTCCTATTAATTATATTACCTAATAATAGTAATTTAATATATGAGAATATTTTTTATTTACTATTATAGAACTAGTAACAAATAAAAAATTAAGGTTTAATACAAGTTTTAATAAGAAAACAGGAGAAAGCAAGAAAAATAAATAATGCAAAAAATGAATAGTTTGATTATTATTTGATTGTATTAATTGTATTACACTAATTTTCTATATCATACACAATAGTTAATCTTAAAATTATATATTTAAATAGATTGTATTCACGTGATATACTCTACTCATCACCAACACTTGACTTCATTCCTTTCTGTATTACTCAAAAATAAGTATAATCAATCAATTATGAAATTGATCTATATAATCTTTATTTTACAAGATTTACTTTATATGACCAATATTGGTTTTATAACTTTAAAGACTAACTAGCCAGTATTTTTTCAGTATCCATAGAATACAAGGGTGAAGATAGTAATTATACAACCATTCATCTAATCAAATGATATATCAGATCAGTTGATGATTTAATATGATATATGATATATAGTAATGAAAAGCATAATATAATAAGATTAATATTATGATTATGAATTTTATGAAATAAAGTCAAATAATTATCATGAAAATAAAATAGATAATTTTTAAAGGTCAATCAAATAGTTTTATAAAAGTTAAATAATTCTAAAATAAAAAATAAAAATTAGTTGATGTATTAATTTATTATTTTTATTAAAAAAATAACTTAGTATCCCTTAAAT